GTAACAAACTGAGGTCCCCAGTCTACAATCCATAGAAATTAAATGCTGCCAAAAACCACATGAGCTAGGAAGCAGCTCCTTCCCCAATCGAGACTCAGATGAGATCACAGCCCCAGCAGACACTTTGACTGCTGCCTTGTGAGACTCAGCTAACCTATGTCCTGACTCCTGACCCACAGAAACTGTGAGGCAATAAATGTGTGTTGTTTTAACCTGCTAAGTTTGTGGAGATACTGTTAGGCAGCAATAGATAATTAAAAAAAGGCAAATGTCCATAAACTGGCAACTAGATCAACAAATTGTGGTATACGTATACAATGGTATACTACACACTAATAAAAAGTAATAAATTATTGATACACACAACAATATAAATTCCACAACCATTATTCTAAGCAAAAGAAGTGAGACAGAAGAAATACACACATTATAAATTCATTCACATGTAATTCTAGGAAAGACAAATATAATCTATAGTGATAGAAAGCAGTTCAGATTTCCTGAAGCCAAAGGCTAGGATTTACTGGGAAGCAGCATAAGAAAACATTTAGGAATAACGGAACTGTTTTGATCGTGATTGTGGTGGTGGTTACACAGATATATAAAGCTCATTAAACTGACCACAACACACCTATTGGAATTCCACAGTAAAGTTTTAAGCCACAAGGACTTTGTCACTCAATAAGCTATTAAATTAATCCACGGATTTTAAATCAGGAAAGGGACAACCTTTCGGGGGGGGGGGGGGGGGGGGCGCTAGATAATGACGGGAGGGACACGCAGGGGACTTCTGAGGTCCCAGTAATGTTTGATCTTTTTTTTCTCCCCAAATCCCCCCAGTACATAGTTGTATATTCTAGTTGTGGGTCCCTCCAGTTGTGGTATGTGGGATGCTGCCTCAGCATGGCCTGATGAGCGGTGCCATGTCAGCACCCAGGATCCCAACCAGTGAAACCCTGGGCAGCCAAAGCGGAGTGCTCGAACTTAACCACTGGGCCCCGGGGCCAGCCCTGATTTCTTGATTTAAATACTGGTTACGCAAGTGTGTTCACTCTGTGAAAAGTCATCAGGCTGAACACATAATTTGTATACTTTCTGGGTATATGTTAAACTTCAGTAAAAAGTTTTAAAAAAATGTAAAAGCTAGGGAATCGTTCTAGATTAAGCATACTAAAGAGACAATCAGTGCAATCTCTGTTTCTTGATTGGATCTTCGTTTTTTTTAACTTGGAAAATTTGAATGTGGACTGTATTACTAAACAACAATATTTTATCAACACTAAATTTCTCGTGATAATGGTATTATAGTTATGTAGGAGAATAACTTTACTCTATGAGACACAAAGTGAAATATTCCAGGATGAAGTAGCATGATGTCTGTAACTTACTATCAAATCCTTCAAAAAAAAGAATATAAAGAGAGTGAGATAAAGCAAATTCAGCAAAATGTGAACAGTGTATCTTGGTGAAGTTTTTATGGGAGTTTTAAAGGAATTCTCCATATTATTCTTTCAAGTTTTCTATAGGTTGGAAATTTTTCAAAACAAAAAGTTGAGGGGCAAAATATCTTGTTTGAACTACTGTTATTCAAGAGTTCAGTAGACTCCCACAACCACATGTAGACACTTGGAGAAAGAAACTAACAATCACCGAGCACTTACTATGCACCAGATGCTCTTTACATCTGTGATTTCATCCACCCTCAGAGTAACCCTCTAGGGTAATTATTATTACTCTCAATTTACAGAGAAGAAAACTGAGGCTCAGAGAGGTGGAGTGACAAGCCCAAGAGCGAATAAGTGCTGGAGTTCAAAGTACAGTCTGTCAGGATACAAGCCGTGCTCTTCCACTCCATAACGTCTTCACTGTGCTCTTCTCCCTTCCCTGCTTCTGTTTTCTCAATCCAAAATTTACCATATCCAGTCAACCTCAACAGATTTGAAATCTATGTTCTGCAATAATATTCAATAACCATCAAACAATCAGATGGAACCATGCCTCTGCTCTTCACTGAACACAGGGAAGTTGGTGGGAAACCAGAGAAAGAGGGATAACATTTCCCCTTCCTACGGGCGATAACATGTACAGACTTACAAAGGACTTTGATAAGAGATTAACAATGCAAAATAGACTAATGCGGGGAAAACAGAACAAGGATATGAAACAATAAATGTAATTCCAACAGACTGTCTTGAAGATAGACCAAAAAGACTATACCATTATGAAAAAGTAAGTATATCACTGCAATCTAAAAGTCACAAAGGGACAGCTACGATAAACACCACCATTCAGGGTGTTCCTTTAAATTTCAAGGAAATCACCTCAGAATAAAAGAATAACTTTAGTGGATTGGTGGTCAACATATGAAAAATCATACCTCAAAAGACATTATAATAGGGCTTAAGGAAAGGTTTAGATCATTTGTGAGTGAAAATCCAGAGTTTATTGAATGGAATAACAATAATAATACATAACACACTATGTCAGGTACTGTTCCAAAATAAGCTTTTTTTTTTTTTCCTGAGGAAGATTAGCCCTGAGCTAACATCTGTCAATCTTCCTTTTTGCTGAGGAAGACTGGCCCTGAGCTAACATCCATGCCCATCTTCCTCTACTTTCTATATGGGACGCCTACCACAGGATGGCTTGCCAAGCGGTGCCATGTCCGCACCCAGGATCCGAACTGGTGAACCCCAGGCCGCCAAAGCAGAACGTGCGCACTTAACCACTGCGCCACTGGGCTGGCCCCTAAGCTAACTTATTTAATCCTCAGAGCAACCCTATGAGATAGGCACTAGTATTATTCCTACTTTACAGATGGAGGATCTAAGGCCAAAGAAGTTAAGTCACTTGTCCAAGATCACACAGCTGGTAGGTAGTGAGGCTAGGATTCGGAGCCAGTGGGAATGGCTTCAGAGCCCACACTTTTAACCACTCCTCTACACTGCCCCTCAAGGGAAGAAAGGGTGGGTTAATCATTCTTAATCTTTCGAAATCAGAGATTGATGCCACAAAGGGAACTAGCAAACTCTGCATAAGAGACAGAATACTGGCTCAGCCCCATAGGTCTAATGCAGCTCTTCTCACATACAAACCAGCTTTGGGGGAATTATCCACACAGTTCGTTCAATTCCACTTGGCTTCAACGAGAGAAATGGCAAACCAAGCTGAACAAGACTCAAAATGATAAGCAAAGTACTAAGGAGAGTTGGTTCACTTAAAGAGCGCGCATTTGCAGCATACTCTTAGTGACAGAATTTAGCATGAAGAGTTCAAGTTCTTCCCCAGGCTGCCAGCATATTCTGATGAAATCCCATCTCTACCAGCTTTGGAAAAGAGGGCAAAAGAGAAGCAGAACCGAAAAACAAACAAGTGCCGGCCAAGCCCCCTTAAAGGACCTCAGATCCTTTCTACAAGGACATAGAGGACAATTTCCAGAACCGAAGGAATCCTTAGGCACCACGATGGCTCCAAGTAGCAAGATTTTTAGTAACCGTCACAGCACTGGAAAATTAGGCGTCCTAGAAGAATCAGAGACTGAAGGCCCCCTTTAATCCTGGCCTGTGGGCATTCCTAACATGTAACAGTTCAGAGAAGCCCAGATTCTGAGGAGCCTCATCATTTCAGCAAGCTAAGTGGGGTAAGGCAAGAGTGGAGGGGCCCTCCTCCCTGGAAACTCCCCACACTCCAGAATTTCTGACAGGGAGGCGGCCAGAATCAGCCCTAGTTATCTCCCATGTTTTACAATCCAGACATCCTCTTTCTGAATCATTCACTCTGCTAATGGAAGCTGGTCTGGGGAACACACAACTCTATGCGCAATTCCTGTAACAGGCTTATCATGAAGAATACAACAATAAGAAACCCTAAGTGGTGTTCTGCCTAGGAAGGAAGTGAAATACCAGCAGGCTACTGAAAAGTCCACAGGTGGTACAAAGAAGTGAGAGATGAGTGATGAGGTCCAGATTGAAACCATTTTCTTCTTCCTCTGTCTGATCCTAACAAATTTAAACGTGTATGGCTGACCACACACCTGGGTTCAAATCCAAGCTCAATCAGGCATGTGATTTGGGGCATATTACAGGCCTTTAGCAGCCACTTCTGCGAAATGGCGGTTAACAGCCTGAACTTTATCAAGGTTCTAATATGTATTAAACAAGATAATAAACAAAATTTGTCCTCAGCATGACGGGATACACTCAGTAAATGTAAGGTACAGCTTACCCCATCCTCCTCACCCCACCTTGGACTACAAACCCCTTCAGAGGCCTTATCATCCACCGCTTCCTGACAGCAGAAATACAGGCATGAGCATTGGTCCTCATAATCCCCTTACTGGACTGGGATTTGGCTAAAAAGCTAGAGCGGCGCCCTTGGCCGAGAAAACCAAACTCTGGGAAGCAAGGACGGATCTTCAGCCAAAAGCTTGGTGACGGCCCTTGTTTTCAGTGAGTCCCTTTCCTACCAACGCACTGAGAGCGTGCGAGTACATTTCCAACCTTCCAACTTGGCAGGCAAGGGGAGCACAAAGGTGACTAAAGACGAAGAGGCTGGCACCGGCGCCACCCAGGGAGGCTGAGGCCGTGCTGGAGTGGGAACCCTGACGGAGTCAGGCCCCTCCCGGGAAGGAACAACCTGAGAACGATCGAGCCTCTCACCCTCTCCTCAAGGAGGAGCCCTCGCAGCTCAAAGCTGGGGGCTTCTCGAGGGTCCCGCCTCCGACCCGGCCAAGCTCAAGCGGGACTCGAGGGCCCAGCAAGCGGGAAGTGGGAACCCGCGGGCGCCCCGGAGCCCCGGCTCGGGAATGTGGTCAAAGAGGGGTCACCGGGGGAGGGGCCCGCGGCGAGGACCTAGGGAGGGGCGGGGCCCGGGAAGGGGCAAGAGGTCAGGGCCCCCGGCTTCCGAGCCGCAGGGTCCCCACCAGGCTCCCAGCCGCACGCCGAGCGCCCCCTCTAGCCGGGGTCCCCGCCACCACAGCACGGCAGTCCCGCTCCCCTTACCTGGCTCGGCTGCTCTGCCTGCTCCGAGGACGCCATCTTCCTGAGGCCTGACTAATCTATCGCCGCTGGGCGAGGCTTCTCCCAAGCGCCCTCGCTCTCGCTCTCTCGTCCAGACTAAAGTAGCCGGCACTAAGCCTGTCGATGGTGGGCCCTGAGGGAGGAGTGGGGAGCTGCTGCGTCCCGGTCATCTCGCACCGTTTCCAGTGGGTCTCTGCTTTCCAGGAAGATCCAAAGTCTGTCCTTTTTGCATTCTTACATGTGTAGTATTCATATTGAATTCAATCTCTGCCCATCCCCACAGTGTCTTGGGCCTATGTAGGGACTCGAGTTATTAATAAATGAGTGAAAGCGAAAAAACTTGGAAATTAATTAATTAATGGTTCAGTTCATTTATGAAGTGCGTACTATTTGCCAGGCACTTTGGTAGGCGCTAGAAATAAAAAGATCCAAGGCTCAACCCCTGCTCCCAAGTGCAGGCCAAACACACACACACAGATTACAGCATTTTGGAGATAGGAGTCTGACAAAGGTGTGCAGGTGTATTAGAAGAACACAGAAGAGGGGTCTTTTTGGAGAAGAGGGGCTTCTACGAACCATTATCACTTTATAGCGGTTGATCTGTTAGATTTTAAACTACACGTGAAATTACACGAAAGGGTTGCATGCATTAGAACTCAGTCAGTTCATACTGCGGTTGTGTTTTGATCCATTATGGAGTATTCAAAGAGGTTGCCTCAAGTCACAGTTCCTCTTACCAAAGTGTTTCAAATGCCCGCTTTTGTCTTATGAGAATATCTGATTTCCTTTCATAAGCAAAATATAAAAGAGACCGACCCTGAATATGGGCTGACAATTATTTCTTGTTTACATAAAATGCCCCCATTTTAAGCGAGGAACCTTTTTGATAACTTTAGTATTGTTGCTTTAATCTTAAATGTTAGTTTTTCGGGGGGAAAAAACCACAGACTTTTCCGTCCGTAGCAGTAATATGACAAGGACAAATATATTGTCAAGCAGCATCTGGACAATCTCAAACGGTGATATGGTTCGCATTTAGCCTTTGCTCTCTGATTTGAGACCTTAATGTTTAATCTATTTAAGCATTTCATTCCAAGATCCCAACCCAATTTGCGCTGCTGAAGCAGGGAATCGGCGTGGAAATGTGCGAGTATCTTATGCTTCTCTGTGACATTTTCAGCAAGACTGAAAACTACACTCGTCAATTTTTATAATTGACGTCCTTCTGATGGGCCTGAAGGTTGGGACATCTTACAGATCTTTTCAGGTTGAAAAGGGAAAACAAATTAACACAGTACAATGACACCGTTTATATTTACGTGTTAATATTATGCATCTATATATGTAAATAGGAGTGCTCTAACAATTCAAAGGAGTATACATGAGTGTCCTTCATAAGGCAAAATAAATCCCTATTGCCCTCATTTCGAACGCGCGATTGCAACTCCTAAGTATAAGATGGAAAAAACTCCTCATAGGCTGAACTGCCCGACATAATGAAGTCGGCTTTGAACCCAAAGACTACAGCTCCCGGCATGCCATCGGGGCCCGCACGTGATTAGTGGCAATTAGAACTACATCTCCCTGCGTGCCTTGGCCCCACGCGTGGTTTGCTTCAGAGAAAACTACATCTCCCGGCAGGCTGCGGGGTGGGGGGCGGGGATCGTCCGCGCCCAACCTCTCCGAGTTCGCCGGGTCAGTCAGGTGCCACCCTGAAGAGGATGGAAGTGGTTGGGGACGCCAGTGGTTCGGAACCCGGCGAGATCCGGGCTCTGAAGCCGTGTCTGCTGCGCCGCAACCACAGCCGCGAACAGCACGGCGTGGCGGCCTCCTGCCTCGAGGAGCTGAGGAGCAAGGGTTGGCGCGGGACTAGGGGTGGGAATTCTGGGGGCGGGGGCCGGGGCCGAGTGGAGCCGGGCCGGGCGAGGGTGTCAGGCGGGGACAGAGCGGGCTCAGGAGAGGCGCCTTGGGGATTCTTGTAGCTCGAGTGGAGCCCTGGGTCAGAGATGACTCACGTGGGTATAGCGATTTACAAGTTTCAGAGCGTTTACGGGCCCTTTCCCTTAATTTATCTCGTGGGAGACTCGTAGTGGTGGAAAGGTGGACGGGAAGCGATATGCAAATTAAGACACACTCGACCTAGGTGTCTGTTTAAGATCACTCCGATTTTGGACCAAACCCAGCCCAGTGTATTCCTGTCGCTCGGGCTCTCTAAGGTGGTACCGGGCCCGCAGCTGAGCCCGTGGCAGGTCCCTGTGCGGTAAAGAGGAGCTGCTGCCCATCATTCTGGAGGTCCAGGCGGGACGAGTGTTGTGAGTGACCGAGTTGACAAAAATTCTGAGCCCCGTAGTGTTACCAGCTGCTTGCCCTTGCCCTTAACCGTCTCTCCGCCCTCAGTTTTCTCGTTGCAAAGTCGGTGTATTTCCAGCCCTGCTTCACAGGGTTGTTGGAATTCTCGAAGACGATATATTCAGATGATTTACAAGTTCTTAGCCCGCAGCAATAAACTGTTTATCCAAAGAAGTGCTGCGGGCTAAACATGTGAGCCATCCCCAGGCATGGAGTCGGGGTGTGTGCCCGTGTTCCATGCTTCCTCCCAGTCCCCAAGCCCCAACAGACATCAGACAGAAGTCTTCCAGGGACCCAGGAGCAGCCAAAGCTCTCGGAAAGTTTCAGTGACATGGCTTTGCCGTCTAAGTGTTTACATTTTTTCCTTGGCATGAGGGTGCCTTACTGTCCCTTCACGGCATTGGCTGGACGCGCTTGGCACAGAGGCTTGTGTTGGTGCCTGTGTTTCTGGAGCTCAGCCTCCTCAAGGCTTCTGTTCTCTTGGGTGGCAGACAACATTGCCCAGCCATACTTGCGGTCTCTGAGCTCCCTCTCTGCTTGCTCTAGTCCCACTAACATTTTGGGCATTGCCATCACTAAATGCGATGGTACAGACCCACCTTGGACAAAGCCTCTTGCCCAGTGATAATAAAGATGGAAAGCTACTGATACAAACTTCTGCTTCTCTTATTTTTTCCTATGGGTTAGAAAGACTACAAAGAAAAATACTACAGAAAACAAAAAGTATTTCCTTTTTTCTTTTCTAAAATTTTCTTTCTTTCTTTTTTTTTGACATTTGCCACATAAGACAATTTTAGATGACCACTGAGGAAATGAATGAAAGACTGCTTGTTCTCAGGGAATCAAATCAGACTTCGGTTTGTTGTTCATCCAAGTAAAGATTCAAGTGCCTCCTAATGCAGGTATAGAGTAGCTGGAGGAAACACATTTTCAAGAGTCAGACTGTGTGGGTTTAAATCCCAGCTCCGCCACTTACTGTGTGACCTTGGACAAGTTACTTAACCTCTCTGAACCTCGGGTTCGACATCTGTAAAATGAGACTAACAATAGTACCTACATTATAGGATTGTTACAAGATTAAATACTGTATATGAAAAGCTCTTAGAACAGTTTCAGGCACATGATAAGTGTTATGTTAGTGCTAGTAGTAGTGGTTGTTATTGTAGTTATTACCTACCAGGAATTTTTCTAGGTTCTGGGTGGTGGGGGACACACATTGAGAGTGCAAGGACAGATGTAATTTCCTTATGGATACTGGTCAATTGCCAAATATTTTATTCCTCTCAGCCTGTGACATTCTGGCCATTGATAAGTCCCTGGCTCCAGTCACCCTGGTCCTGGCAGAGGATGGCACCATAGTGGATGATGACGATTACTTCCTGTGCCTACCTTCCAATACTAAGTTCGTGGCATTGGCCAGGAATGAGAAGTGGGCATACCACAATTCAGGTAAGAAGTGCCGGCCATATATGAAATGATCCATCATGATTCATTTTCCTGCGCAGGCACCTGGTTGCTGTTTGTCTGGCTGTTTAAGCATTTATGCGGCAAACTTTTACCTTCTTATGCCAGAAGTGGTGCTGAGTCTGGGGGGCAGAGGGTGAAGAGGAATGAGAATAACTGACAGCGACTAAAATGCAGCACGGCAGAGATCGGTGCTGCAGGTAGGGTCAGGCTGCCTGACCCGAATCCTGGCTCTGCCATTTACTAGCCAGGTGACCTTGGGCAGATTACCTAACTTCTCTGCCTTATTGACGTAAGTGTAGTACCAGCCTCCAAGGGCAGTCGTAAGGATACTAGAACTTAGTACATATCAAACCACAGTCTCTCAATACTACTGACGTTTGGGGCCAGCGAATTCTTTGTTGTGGGGGGACTGTCCTGTGCATTGTAGGATGTGTAGCAGCATCCTTGGCCTTTGCCCACTAGAAACCAGTAGCATCTCCTCACCCCAACTGTGACAACCAAAAATGCCTGCAGACATTGTCACATGTTTCCTGGGGGGCAAAGTCTCTCCCAGTTGAGAACTACTAATAAAAAGCATTCAGATCTTACCTGGCTCGTGGTGAGAACTTGATAAGTGTTACCTGTCACCATCATCATCACTGGAGATAGAAAGGGAACTAATATTGATGAGCAAGGATCAAAGAGCTGAAGAAGTATCTTAAGGAACGTGCTCATGCCACTAAACTGAGGAAGTCACCCTGCAGCAATGGCTCTCTAGCCACCAAACAGTGGCTGCAGCTCCTCCAATCGAGGATAAGATCAATCCCCAAGCACAGGAGAAGTGCTGATGAGAATGAATGTTTTAGGATACAAAAACAGGACACAGCCGGAGACACACCAACTAACCTAAAGGACAGTGTGGCAGGATCCCGGGATGCGTGACCGTACACTGGGTTGAAGTGGCTTGCTTTCCATAAAAGAATAAAGAGCGGTTTCACTCAGAAATACAGTGAAGATGGAAGAAGAGGGAGAATGAAGGTCCTACGTGGGGACTGGCTTCCCCACGAATCCTTGAGAAAAAGTGCTCACTTCTCTATTGAAACTATTCTAAATGGTCAGTCAGAAGTATGTGCAGACATCCTCGAGGTCTGTGTGTTGGGGGAGGAGGTGAAAACAGCACTTCAAGGTAATCTGACTGTGACTGGCATTTTCTCCCACAAATCAGATGGAGGTACGGCTTGGATTTCCCAAGAGTCCTTTGACGTAGATGAAACAGACAGTGGGGCAGGGTTGAAATGGAAGAATGTGGCCAGGCAGCTGAAAGAAGATCTATCCAGCATCATCCTCCTATCAGAGGATGACCTCCAGGTAAGTCTCCTCCACAGCTCGCGGCCACGCGCGTCTGGCTCTGCCACCCCCACCACCTCCTTAACCTTCTTTGTTTCCATGTCAAAATAATTTCATTACTTGTTAATTTTTAAATAATTCTTAGATGACAACGAAGATTCTTCATTTCGTAATTCTCTCACCTAGAGTAGGAATTTTTCAACGCTTACCCTGCATCAAAATCACCTATGGAGCTTCTTGTAAAATACAGATGACCAGGCCCACTGTGGGGGTCAAAGAGGTACTCACGAAGGGTGTGGGGTTGGAGTAGCCGGATTCAGTCCCAGCTCCATCACGACGACTTTGAGCCAGGAACTTAGCTTCTCTGTTTATGCGTCCTCTCCAGTAAAATTGGGATAAAAAACAGTGTGTGTTAATTGAAAAATATATTTATGGAGCTCCTGCCCTGTGCCTGGCATGGTTCTCTATAATGGAGTACAGAGGTGAACAAGCCAGACACAATCCCTGCTCTAACAGAACTCACATTCCAGTGAAGCAGACAAAACCAGAAGTGTATCAGACAGTGTGGTATGCTGAGAGTGATGGGGCTGCCCTAGATTGGAGGATCGAGGAAGGTCCCTTCAAGGAGGTGACCTTTTGGTTATTTATTAAACTTAGAAATTTATTTTGATGGGGCTGGCCCGGTGGCGCAGCAGTTAAGTGTGCACATTCCGCTTCGGCGGCCCGGGGTTCGCCGGTTCAGATGCCGGGTGCGGACATGGCACTGCTTGGCACGCCATGCTGTGGTAGGCATCCCACATATAACGTGGAGCAAGATGGGCATGGATGTTAGCTCAGGGCCAGTCTTCCTCAGCAAAAAGAGGAGGATTGGCAGCAGTTAGCTCAGGGCTAATCTTCCTCAAAAAAAAAAAAAAGCAAAGAAATTTATTTTGAATAAATACTATGAATACATTCACATGGTTCAACATCCAAGAGGTATAGAAGGAAATAGTTAGCCAAAAAGTGAAAACAACCCAAATGTCCATCAACTGAGGAAGAGATAAATAAAATGTGGTATATCCAAACAAAGGAATATTATTCAGCCATAAAAAGGAATGAAGTATTAATACATGCTGCAAGATGGATAAACCTTAAAAACATTATGCTAAGTGAAAGAAGCCAAACATGAAAGGCCACATATTTATGATTATATTTATATGAAATGGTGGGAATATGCAAATCTGTAAAGACAAGAGATAGATCAGTGGTTAACTAAAGCTGGGGCTGTGAGGAGCTTTGAGGAGAAATAGGGAGTAACTGCTAATGGGTATGGAGTTTCTTTTGGGGATGATGAAAATGTTCTAAAATTGACTGTGGTAATGATTGCACAACTCTGTAAGTATGCTAAAACCCACTGAATTGCACACTTTAGATGGGTGAATTGTATGGTTTGTAAATTATATCTTAATAAAGCTGTTTGGAAAAAAAAGATATACAGGAAAAGTCTAACTCCTGTCTCCAGTTACCCACGTTTCCCTTCCTGGAGACAACCAATCTGTCAGTCTCCCATTCCAGAAGTATTTTATATACAAACAATTTTCTCTTCTTCCCCTAAATTGCACAAATGGAAGCATATCTATTCTGTTTTCGAAGAAATATTTGGAGAGTATTCCAGATCAGTATATAAAAGACATCCGTGTTCTTTTTTTACCACTGCATAATATTCCAGTTTGTGCATGTACCATGATTTATATAATGAGTCTCCTCTACTGGTGGACATTTGGGTTGTCATCAGTTTTGCTATTCCAGGCAGTGCTGCCCAACTTAGACCACTGTCATTTTGCCCACATGCTTGTCCATAGAATAAATTCATAGAAGTGTAGTTGGTATAGGTTGGTAAGTTCCCAAGAGGTGACGATTAAACTGAGAGCTGAAGGACAAGCTCGAGCCTGTCATGGAAAGATTGGGGCCAGAATGTTCCAGGTAGAGGGAAGGCAGAAGCAAGCTTGATTTTTTTCTCTAAGAAACAGAAGGGGCTTATGAGATCCCTTCCCATCCCAACAGACTGGCATATTATAAAATACCCTTGGAATGAGGAGCACAATAGACCTTACCAAAACAGGGACATCAGAACGTAAGTGAGCCTGGGGCCTGACAGCTAGGCTCCATAGGGAAGTTTAGGACCTTAAAGGGAACTTGCAGAGGCTGCCACGGTAGGAAAAAGAAAGGTACCCCCATCACGAGGACTGGGCAGTGAGAACAGATGGGAGAGAAGGGAAGAGCATGAGGATCAGTTACACAGGGTCCTGAGGATTAGAAAGAAGACCGACTGTGATTCTTGGGAAGTTACTAACTTCTCATCTTATTTTCCTCATCTGTAAAATGGGGGGTGATACTAGGACCTACCTCATAAGGTTTGTACCTCTTGAATTTTGAACCTTGTGAATATATGGTTACTTGTTTGAAAATTGAAAATAACTTAAAAAGTCACCTCCTCCAAGAGGCCTTTCCTAACCTAGAGTAGCCAGCCCTCCCTGTCACTTCTCTTCTAAGGGTTTTACACATGTTTTCTCCTTGATACACAGTAAGTGCTCAAGAAATGCAAGCTTTTCTTATTGTAGTTTTTATAAAGCTCCATAGCGACTCTAAAGTGCAGCTCAGTTTAGAATCGCTGTCCGAGAGTTCCAACAGTTTGATCTTTCTCTTATGAAGACTATTTTTAATCTAGTCCTGTATATGCCACAAGAGTGAGCCTTCTTAAAAGTTATTATCCTTATAGCAGATTTAGGATATAGTATTTGAGGTCTCCCTTATTTCACAGGTTCAACATGTTATTAAAAGCTGAGTATAGTTTATAATTTAAAAATGGAGTCTTTTATTTACTTATTTATTTATTTATTGAGGAAGATTAGCCCTGAGCTAACATCTGTGCCCATCTTCCTCTTTTTTTTATATGGGACCCCTGCCACAGCATGGCTTGACACGCAGTGTCTAGGTCCGCACCCGGGATCCAACCGGCGAACCCCAGGGCCGCCCATGCGACCTTAACCACTGCACCACTGGGACGGCCCCCAAATAGAGTCTTTTAAAGCTATGAACATGTATAATAAAAATGTTTAAGTTAAAATCATTAGAGAAACGTTTGCTTAAAACACCCTCCTGTTGATTCATTATATAAATGATCATATACCTCCTCCTTTATATTCTGTACAATTGGGTTTTTTAATATCCAGATTTTCTTTTGGGGCTGGCCCCATGGCTGAGTGGTTAAGTTTGCGCGCTCCGCTGCAGGCAGCCCAGTGTTTCGTTGGTTCAAATCCTGGGTGTGGACATGGCACTGCTCATCAAACCACGCTGAGGCAGCATCCCACGTGCCACAACTAGAAGGACCCACAACGAAGAATATACAACTACGTACCGGGGGGCTTTGGGGAGAAAAAGGAAAAAATAAAATCTTAAAAAAAAAAAAACTATTTTCTTTTGTTTTTAATGAGGCACTAAGGCATCATTTTCCTAATTTTTTCACTAGAGGAAAACTGAAAAAATTACATGCCTCTCTTGACTCTTAGGCAACTGTGGTAGGTAACTTTGGGAAACAGATGAAGTGAGTCTCTGAAATTGGTATGTTTGAGAGATAGAACACCATGTTTAGAAAGTACTTTTAAGTTTCTTAAAGTCCGTATTTGTTTGTTAGGTGCTCATTGATGTTCCATGTTCAGACCTGGCTCAGGAACTATGCCAAAGCTGTGTCACAGTCCGGGGGCTCCAGAACACCCTCCAGCAGGTACTTGACCAGAGAGAGGAAGCCCGTCAGTCCAAGCAGCTCTTGGAGCTTTACCTCCAGGCTTTGGAGAAGGAGGGCAGCGTCTTGTCAAAGCAGCAAGGTAGGACTCATTGGCTGGGGGAGCTACACTGAGAGCTCAGTGCCTGCAGAGCCTTTCTTTGAGAGAGAACCAAATGTTTGTAATGTAGTAAAAACAGTGAAGCCACAGCTGCTGGCATCTTGAGATGTTTCTATCTTGCCCGACTGATTACTCTGGCTGGTGGTTTGTGTGGTTGTATGTTTACATGGTGTGCTGAACTCCATCTCACGTCTGCTTTTCAGAGTCCAAAGCTGGCTTCAGTGACGAGAGCGATGCAGTTGACACGGGTCTTAGCAGAGAGAGCTCCTCTGAAACTGCACTTACGAGCCAGCTCCTCACTGCACTGAAGGAGAAGCCTGCTCCAGAGCTGAGTCTCTCTAGTCAGGATTTGGAGGTGGGCAAGGACCAGGGCCCCTGAACTGCAGAGAACTGCCCTGAACATCCCTCGGAGGTGTAGTGTTGCCCTGCAGAGGCACGTGTAGGATTTTTTTCACCTCTGCAGATCCTGAACCATAGTTACCAATCATAGCTACTATTATACACCAAGGCATTTGGAAACATCTCATTTAATCTCAAACAAAATGGCTTAAACAAAATGGATGCATTCCCTCAGATCATCAAAGATTATTCTCTGGTCCAAAGTGGGTAATGAAATGACTAAACCTGACAGGGAGGAATAGGAGGGCTCAAGCTTCTGAGATGGCTTCTGGTTCTGTCAGTGGTGAAAGAAGATCCATAGTCAATCAAGGCACATAAAACATCACAGGGAAAGGCACACCTGAGGGGCTCATCTCATGCTGGCAGTTAAGACCAGGGAACTAGAAGCTTGACGAAAAGAACTTGTCCGAGTGGGTGCTATTTCTTATTCTTCATCCTTGTCCATGTCCCAAGCACCTCCCCATTGTAGCTAGAAGGGAAGGAAACTGTATGGACTTCAGCTTGGCTAAATTTCCTGTAAGTGGAGGACTTTTTATTTGCTCCAATAAACTTCTTTCTAAAGATCCTTTCCTGTTAGTGTTGTAGGGTAAGAAAAGGGCGAAGACAATTTAATATGAAAGAGCCCTGGCATTTCAGCATAAAGACATAACATAAGCTGATATTGCCTCATCTCGCTCCCCTAAGAAAACCATGAGAGCAGCAGCTGAGGAGAGCAGAGGCGGTGGTTCTCAATGGTTCTTATTCTTGCCACAGCTGGTTACCAAGGAAGACCCCAAAGCATTGGCTGTTGCTTTGAAGTGGGATATAAAGAAGACGGAAACTGTTCAACAGGCCTGTAATCAGGAACTAAGCCTGCGCCTCCAGCAGATACAGAGCCTGCATTCTCTCAGGAATATTTCAGCAAGGAAGAATTCGCTGCCTGGAGAACTGCAGAATCCTAAACGAGCTAAACAAGACCCCACAGAGTATAGCTGAAAATATGCCCAAAAAACCCCCGTGACCTTGTTTTTAGTTGTCAGTAAATGCATTCAGCCTAGTTATTTCACTTACCTACCACTCCACTCCCTGCCTTGGAGTCGGTTCTCCTGGAACAGGCTAAAAGACTAGCCTCCTGCCTCCTCCAGATTTCAACATATGCCCTTCCACCTGTTTTAAATGATATGGCTGCATTAACAATGCCCCACCTCTTCTGATAACATGTTCTTATGTTCTCTGTTTAAAGGTAATTGTGGAGTGAAAAGAAAGTGTCATATTGAAGACTCAGTATTCTTGTTCTAAAGCTAGAAATGCAGAATTTTAAACAAATGATAGGGAACGTGACAGTGTGTCGATTATGGCCACAAACTTCTTTCCCAAGTTAATGAATTTTTTTGTTTGTTTGTTTAAAGGCTCATATTAAGTTTGCTCATATTAAGTAGGGACACACTGAGAGTCTAATTCACCATCTCTAATATCTAATTCAGTATTGTGAAATTATATCTGTTACCACTGTGAAACTCTTTTCAGTTTTCTAATATGTTTTATCAGCAGGGGGTATGAAAGGTCATTAAATTGATTTCCATGCAGTATGACTTGAAGTCTCTCTCGGTGCAGAGCAGAGACTTCTGGTTTCTATACCTCCTATTTCTGTACAAACTTGTTCTTCAGGTTTTGTAATCTACCAGACGGTCTCCTTGCAGAGAATAGGTAATTAGTTATCATTGACTTATTTGACTTTTTTTAAGCATGCTTAGAGGAAAACAGAAGGCTAGTAAGAGATACATGGGCTAATTATTAAAGAAATACAACAATAAGTCCTGGAGTGAGAGTGGAGTGCAGAAAGCAAACAGAACAAAATAACTGTTTCCTTCTCCTGTCATCATCAAGGACAGCTTGGATCTACTCAGCATCCTTTTCCTAATGCCTTATGCCATTGGTTCTCACTTATTAGCCATAATATTTTCTTTTTTAATAGCACATTTTTTAATGCCTCCTTAATTATCCTAAATGAAAGCCAGAGCTGATAACCTGCCTATATGCATACTTTCAAAAGCACTGACATAGTACCCCAAATGTACTATCTCAGAAGAAGCAAAAGGAAAATAATTTCCAATAAAATGGCATGTATCTCAGTATGTCACTGTCTGGACACGACTATACCAAAGGCACGAAGAAGGTGTAGATGATTGCACTTGCACACTGAATTACGGTGAATTTGACAGGCAGCCAGGCACAGGTGTGTAGTGATTCTCAACTCAAATACCACAAGCAAGCGTTGGCATTTATAGTGAGATTTCCTAAATTGGTGAAGTTCTGAACAAAATAACATACCTATCCTTGATTTACAAGGTAGCTGCATTCTTGAAAAATCTAGGGAACATTGAAACTGGAAAAAAATACTTTGTGATTATACATAAAACAGAACTGGGTTTCAGGCTAAGATAATTTGGAACAGGTTTTCATCCATATAAATGTCCAGCATGACATTCAAAAGTCACGCGGGACATGGGATGATATCTCTCTTTGTGGAGTTGTCCTGTGCATTGCAGGAGGATGAGCATCCCACCTCCTATGCCCACCTGCTCAATGCCAGTAGCAACCTCCAGGTATTGAGATAACTAAAACCATCCCCACACATTTTCAAAATGCCCCTGGAGGGGCAGTGATGCTGGCTGAGGATTTTTATGGCAGTTTGCAGTTTGCTGTGTGCTAGCACCTACCACATTGGAGCCTCACAAAACTGAGTGAGCTAGGCAGGGTGTGGTTTGTCGCCTCTCGTTCTATACATGAGCAAGGTTGTGCTCAGCAAGGGTCAGTGACTTGCTTCATGCACAAGGCTAACTGGAGGGCCAGGATTCAAAGGCAGGTCTCTGCTTCTAATTCCAGGGCTCTTTCTACTTCTTTGTATTTTCTCTTAGGTTCACACACACTTTTCTATTCTACATCCAGATCACTGGTTTTGTTGTACCAGTGTAATAAGTTGGAGTTGGCTCCAACTGGAAAAGGCCTACTATTTCTATAACATAATTGCCAAAAGATTTCTAACTGCAGTCATTGTGCTGGTGGTGTAAGAGAAGTGAATCAGCCTCACGACACTGTACAGTTAGCACAGTAGCAACAGAAGCTTGGATTCCAGAAATACAGAATGGTAGCTCTATTCACCAGCTACACTGATATCTCCATCTTTGCCCTACTGAATTTAATGTTTTCTTAAATTATTTCAGTTCAGTTGACTGGCCTGGGTGTTGGTATTGGTATTGGTATTGTGTCCTTGAAACAAACCCACCAAGAGCCCCAGCTGCACAGGATAAGGGAAAAAGTACTATAGGTTTTGGAATGAGACAAACCCACACTGAGTCTAACCTTATGGGACCTTGTTTTCCAAAAATGAAAGGTTAACCTAAAGCCCCAAGGTTGAAAGGGTTAAATGAAGTATGAGGAAGAGCAGAGTATCTAGTACATAGTAGACTATAGAGAGTGGTTCCCTTTCATCTCCCCAGGGGCAGAGAGATGTGTCCTTAGGAGGCTCCTTATCTATGGGTCTGTAGAGCAAAGACCTGAGTCTGCAAACTCTAGCCCAAATGTGTAGTGAGAGCAATTGCAAACACGTTATATTGCCCCTGGTACCATTTACCTTCCTTACACCACTGTGCCTCTAGGCCTTCTAGAACAGAAATGTAGCAGCAGAGCAATATGTCTAAAAATAGGAGAGAGAGCCGGGCATGCCTGTTCTTATGGTAGGAGAGAAGAATGTCAAAGAAAACAGCTGGGACTAATGAACTCTACATTAGCCATATTCCATCCTTTCAACTCAAGTCAAATGTCGGTCCCCATTAGGCAACTGGCTTTGACAGGAGCTGTGCTAATTACCACTTACCAACCTTTAATTTCTGGGTAAAAGCAAAAGGAAAAAAACTAATGGATTTTTCATTTTCCAGAGAGAAAGGAATAAAATAATAATAGTCTGCAAAAAAACCTGCATTAATTACGAGAATTATTAATGTTCCTTTCTTAACCAGATTGTTTAGCTGTTTAATTTCCTAATTATCTATTCTTTTTGTTTTTGCCTTCAGAGTTTTACCATTTTATTTGAGAGTTTGGCCTTAAATTATTTTGGCTGTGTCTTACATGAGGTTTTTAAGGACCTTGGAAATGATCTAGTCTGAACAACGACCCACTGCCTGAGTCCTCTACCTGGCTGCCAGTGGGGTCCTCCATCCTGTTTGAAAGCCTCCAGTGAAGGGACAGACTCGCTCCTCAGGAGGTACCTGAATCTTTAGATGGCAGAACCTTAAAGTTAGCTATTTGCTTGAACTAAATCAGACACATGCAATTACAAGGAAGTGAACCAGTAAGTTAAGGCGTAGATACTGGATTTTCTTCATATTTTCCAATAACATGTTACAAGAACTATCACCAAAAATATTCTAGCTTTTTCTCCAGGTTATAATTATTTTAATAGGATAAACACATGTATTTTTTGATCATTTAATTATTTAACGATAAATGGAAAGGATAAATTGTTTTTATTAGGGTTAGGAGAAGCTGGAAAGAGTGGGTTGCCCAGCCATCCTTTGCCTCTTCCTTTCTAGTCTAGAAACAGAAAATTTCCTTCAGCACCTAAATGACTTTTGTTCTTCTGCTTTGTTGGGAATGGGATCCCTCTCTCTACTGAGGCAGCTACAATTATTAAGATATGGGTTTATCCCTTCAGCAGGTGGGGTAAATCAAGTCGTTTAAGTATCAGCTGTAAGCTGTAAGTTAAGTATCTGCTTTTACCCAGAAATCAACTTCCTGCTCTGAGTTTCCTAAAGCCGGGAATGGTTTGCTGTCAGCCCTGAAACAGGAATACTACGAAGGGTTTTCTGTCGAATGCTTATGTCACGCTCAATTCTTCCTCAGCAGTTAAGGATCTATTTTGGTGACAATTACTAGAAATAAATGCAAGAGAATGAATTAGAAGTTGTAGTCCTGATGTCCCAGATCTACACATTTGACTATATTGAACTACAGAAAGGTAGACTTTAAGAAAAGTCTACCAAAAACCTAATGGTAGGAAATTACCCTAATTTACTCATTTTACCCTAATTTATTAATCATTAGCATATTAATCTAGTCTAACACACAGTTGATGCCAGTTAATATTTTATTAAGTCCCCTGAACTAAGGTAGGCTTAGACTTGATGGATTTCCTAGCAGTATCATTAGTATAGCCTCATTATCCTTCAGATATTATGTAGTTAAAAGTTAAAATGCCCAATCTTAAGGACTATGTATGTACGACCCCAACTTCAACTGAAAAACAATGAGCATGCTTTTCTTCTAGAAAAACCATAAAACACAAAGTCCTGAAGGTTAGCTAGCCTTTCAGGCAGGCATCTTCCACCAGTGCACTGACCCACTTACTAGTCTCTTAAAGCTGCTGTGTTTGGAAATGTGGATGCTATTAAGGCTCTTCCATCATATTATACTTTACTCAGCTAGTAATTATGAATATGAGCTCAGCTCTGCAGAAAACAGAATGGAACGGTCAGCAGTCATACTCTGTGAGCCTGTTCCCCTAGTGTCCAGAGAAGAGAATAGTATTACAGTGTCCTTCAGCCAGCCTTTGCTGGTTTTCCCAATATTAGGCATGACTCTCAGAAACTTTCCATAACTCCAGGTGTAAATCTCTAAGCTTTAAAGTTTAGCATCTAAAAACCTCACACTGGAAGTCTTCTTTAGAGTCTGTGATTCAAGAATCATAAACAATATGTGTAATGAAGCAAGGATTTCAGTGCTATGGGGAATTAAAATTTGATTAGGGTTTTGAAACTGAGCAACTTGTTTACTCCTAATTTCACTTGAGCAGATCAAAATCCTGGTCCACATGGGACTCGACAATTGCTCTGCATAATATCACAGAAAAAGGAATTCCCCCCTCATTTAACCATTATTCACGGTTATTTCTGTGGGAAATTACTGAGGAATAGGTAAACATAACAATTATACACAAAATACATATCAACACATACAGATCTGTCTCCGAACAAAGTCCAGGTCCTGTGACGCTGAAGGTCCTTGTAGTAGCTGAGGCCAGCAGGCTGCAGGCCCGGCACCAGCACTGCTGACTGCATTTGGTTTGAAATAAACCTGAAGCTCTCATCCATGAAAAGAATCATAACAAATTAGTATTAACTTACTAATTAAAAATACCATAGGTATTTTATAACAGCAGGTTCAAGTGTAACTTTTATAAGCATGTCAGTATGATGTCTGTTTACTAGCATGACATTTGTTTTTAAATTAATTTTAGCTAAAACATGAGGCATAATCATTTTGCTCTCTGAACACAACGTTAAAAATTTGCTTTTAATATGAAGGAAATATTTTTTACATTAGACAATTTATATCAAAATAACCTGAAATAAGATGTTATTCCAAATTCTTAAATACGTAGCCTTTAGCTTTTTTTAAAGATTGGCACCTGAGCCAACATCTGTTGCCAATCTTCTCTTTCTCCCTTTTTCTTCTTCTTCCTCTCCCCAAAGCCCCCCAGTACACAGGTGCATACTCCAGTTTCGGGTTCCTCTGGTCGTGCCATTCGGGACACAGCCCCAGCATGGCCGGATGAGCAGTGCCACATCCGTGCCCAGGATCCAAACCGGCGAAACCTGGGGCCACCAAAGCAGAGCACAGGAACTCCACCACTTGGCCACTGGACCGGCCCCACCTTTAGCTATTTTAAATCAAAGAAAGGGAGACAAGGGCAGAACAACTTCCAAGCACATAATGAAGGTGGAAGGAAAGCTCAGTGGCTGCATTGAGTACCATATAGCAAAAACCACAAAAATCTTTATCTAAAATATTCACTTTGGGTTCCAAATTACTCAAGACACTCAGTATTGGGTGTTATTGGAGTTTAAATAAAAAATACTTTTCAGATTACATGGGAAAAAGAAGACAACTGCATAAAGAAGAAAGACCATGGCTGCTTAATACATTTTATTCAGATCCATCGCTATACTTCACTGGAGTAACCATGGGTGGAGCTTTATTTGCAGGAGGAGAAGGTCTTCCAAAAGAAATTCTTGCAGGGCATTTTACCTCGGGGCGTGGACCGTTGAAGGGGCGGGTCTTCCTGCCGTCTGGACACCTCCCTGGCTTCTCCCATGAAGGGCGCTCCGCTGCCCTGGGAGGTCCACTCGTCGTACCACCAAGCAAGGAAAGTCAACAGGCTGTTTTTCTTTATTTCTGCCACTTCCTGCATATGCTTTTAAAAAGAACCAGAGGACAAAGGAAAGAACAATCAACCATCTGGCTCAACCAGCATTAAAGATACATAATTTTTTCCTTTAAAAAAAAAGATGCACCAGAATAAATCACATTTCCATTTAAAGGATGAGAAAGAGAACACCTTAACGAAACTGCTCTAATTAGAGAAAAAGAAAAGTTGAGAATTTTCAATCAAGGAAAAAAACTGCTTGTTTTGCCCATAATCTTGGCTGAGATCCTTAATTAGAAGAGGTCAGGAAATCTATCGTTTTCCCCGACAAGGGACTAGCACCTACGAAGACCCGGAGGTGGATCAGGCTAATTTAGCTTGGTTTTCCCATCTCTGGTCCTAACTCCTGGTTGTCCACAAATTGCTCTTCAAGACAGAGCAGATTGAGATATTAGATTCTGGTCTTTCAAACTCCTTAGAAAGCTTTCTGTCTGATGATAAATGGCTTGTCTGAAACTCATCTGGTAATTTCAGAGAAAAATCCATTTTTAATGGTCAACTTTATGTACTCTTTCTTGGACCTTTTTCAAAATGGAAAATAGAGAAAAATAAATCACCTCATGAAGTTACAAATTCTCACAATGGAAAATGTAATGATGTCAATTAATCTGAGCCAGTGAGAACATGTACTGTATATATAAATTAAGATTCTAGAAGTATGTGTGACTAATATGGCAGTGGCGGCTCCATGATTGCACTGCAATAGACTGATATAATCACTTAACATTTCAAAGACTAGCAGATGGAGATGGCCAGCATGAAGAAGCTCTGCTTCGCGTTTCAGAGCTTTCTAACAGACTTCCTAGGTTGGGACAACTGAACGTAAACGAGAACCAATGGACATCACCGTACCACAGGGCAGCCAAGGAGAGCACTACAAAGATCAGCCCCGAGTCCGTTCCGTACACACCCTCGGCTGTGGAGAGGCTGGGGAATCCGCAGGCATAGCCAAATATGCCTAGGAAAGAGTCAGCCAGAGGTGGACTAGCATGTAGCCAAGTCAGAGACTACTCACCCCGCCGTCGTGGCCAGCAAGGCTGCCCTCCAGGGGAAGGGCAGCAGCGGCCCCTGCGAGGAGCAGCAGCAGCAGCAGCAGCAGGCAGAGGGGTGGTGGCATTCTGTGGGCCAACTGGCACTTCTCTCCAGCTCTGCGGCTGCGCATCTTTCTCAGCAGCCCTGAAATCAGTTTTGTGGACTTGGGCCTCTTCTTTTGGAGACTAGGGGGTATTTCCAGCTCAACCTGCAGCTGTTTATTGCATATATACATGTCTAAAGCCTGAACCCACTTCCTTACACTCAAGCAGTGACGCACACGCCTGAGCAATCAGTGCCCACAAAAGCGCCTCTGGATTGGGTTTAACCCTTCATTAAAGCCTCAGAGCTTTTCCTGTGCTTACAGGGAATTTGCTCTTACTTTGCAATGTGTGTGCACTTGCTTCTGAAGTTCTCCTTCCTCATAATTATGCCTATGGCAAGCAGGAAGCCATGAGAACAAAACTAAGTGATTTAACATAATATAAAATTAGCCTTTCTTAAAATAAAAAAAAAGGGGCCGGCCCCGTGGCTGAGTGGTTGAGTTCACGCCCTCCGCTTCGGCAGCCCGGGTTTCGCCGGTTCGGATCCCGGGCACAGACGTGGCACTGCTCATCAGGCCATGCTGAGGCGGCATCCCACATGCTACAGCTAGAAGGGCCCATAACTAAAAATACACAACTATGTACCGGGGGACTTTGGGGAGAAAAAGGAAAAATAAAATCTTAAAAAAAAAAAATTAGCCTTGGATAGGGGCCTAACATCTGAAATCCTGCCCACACGAAAGTGTGAGTGAATCTGCTACACGCAGAAGAGACAAGGAGGCAATGGGGGCCTGGGGAGACGTGCAGAGCACCCACTGCTTCCACCAGACCGCAGGCAAGGGAGACACTGCCCTCCTGCCCAGGCCTTCTCAAATTGTGACGTGTAACCCAATCGTCTTCTTAAGATTAAAATGCAGATTCTGATGCAGTAGTTACAAGGAGGGGCTGAGATTCCCACAGCTCTGACGAGCACCCAGGTGATGCTGACACTGGAGTAGCCAGGCTCAAGTCCAGTGTTTTTCAAACTGCTGCTGACCACTCACTAGCAGGTCATAAACTAGCCCTTTTGTTTTTGCTTGAGGAAGAGATTCACCCTGAGCTACCACCTGTGCCAATCCTCCTCTATTTTCTATGTGGGTCACTGTCACACCATGGCTGATGAGTGGTGTAGGTCCACACCTGGGATCTGAACCCGTGAACCCAGGCCACTGAAGCGGAGCATGCCAAACTTAACCACTAGGCCACAGGGCCAGTCCCAAAACTAGCACTTTCCTTTTTTTTTTGAATGAAATAGAAATTAGAGTGCATCAGGTGGAGTAAAGATAAATATTGTTTCGTGTGTGTGTCAGGTGTAAAACGTATTTCTTACTGAATGACCTACACTTGACCAGCTCCCAGGCTTTCTCTCCTCCTGATGCTGCTGCCACTGCTGAGAACATGAACTCCTCTGTGCTGCCTCCTGACTGCTCCTCACAGGTCTCAGTTTCAGAAGCACCCAAAAAAATGCACAGACCCTTTTCACCCAACTGTGATAGCTAGTAAAGTCTGAGACATCTACTACAAACCTACTAAAGATGACCAGCATCCAAGGCAAGGTTCCAAATGGAAGTAAAGCAACCGCAGAGGTGATGGCTCTTTCCAGAAGTGAACACTGACATTTACAGTTTTCCAAAGTTCTGTTTCATACCCCTTCACAAGGGAAATCTCAATCTTAAATTTCATTTCATCACAGGCTTGTTGTTTTAAGACCCTAGGTAAAATTGACATAGCCTGATGACCCATGGCTCATCCACTTCACGTTGCTTAGTCCTTTTTTTCTGTACCATAATTTTTTCCCTAAGATAATTCCCACAAATAGTGTTAAAATTTTTGAGATATTCTTGCAGATGAGAAATTCATGGCAGCTCAGCCAGCTTCTTATATCCTTAGTATATTTTGCAGATTTTACTCAATGGACTCATTAAACATTCTGAGCACCTAGCATATACGTAGCACTACAAGGGACCCACGCCATCCACCCCAACAGGGCGGTTACAGCCTAGCTAAGGGGCAGAATACACACTCTACAAGTGAAAGGAAAGGCCATTTTCAGGGCAGCACTAAGTGTGCCGAGGAGGGGTGTGTGCTGCAGATGGAGGAAGGTTTTTTTTTTTAAAGATTGGCACCTGGGCTAACAACTGTTGCCAATCTTTTTTTTTTTTTTTTTTCCTGCTTTATCTCCCCAAACCACCCCCCGTACATAGTTGTATATGTATATCTTAGTTGCAGGTCCTTCTAGTTACGGGATGTGGGACGCCACCTCAACGTGGCCTGAGGAGCAGTGCCATGTCCACGACCAGGATCTGAACCCTGGGCCGCCACAGCGGAGCGCACGAATTTAACCACTTGGCCACGGAGCCGGCCCTCGGAGGAAGGTTTTGTCTTATCTTACTACTGACTGTTTGCAAGGAGGTGGCAACTTATCTTAGTACTTTAAGGTGAGGGCTCTAGACTAAACTCCTGGCTTTCTCATTTAATTAACCTCTCTGTGGCCTCAGTTTCCTCATCTATAAAATGAGGATAGGGGCTAGCCCAAGGCCTAGTGGTTAAATTTAGTGCACTCGGCTTCAGTGGCCTGGGTTCGGTTCCTGGGCACAGAATCACACCAGTCGTCTGTCAGTAGCCATGCTGTGGTGGCAGCTCACATGGAAGAATTACAAAAATTTGCAACTAAACACAACTATGTACTAGGGCTTGGCGGTGGGGTAAGGAAGAAAAAGGAGGAAGACCGGCAACGGATGTTAGCTTAGGGTCAATCTTCCCCTGAAAAAAACCAAAACAAAAAGGAACTCATTGGGGCTGGCCCCTGGCCGAGTGGTTAAGTTCGCGCGCTCTGCTGCAGGCGGCCCAGTGTTTCGTTGGTTCGAATCCTGGGCGTGGACATGGCACTGCTCACCAAACCACACTGAGGCAGCATCCCACATACCACAACTAGAAGGACCCACAACGAAGAATATACAACTATGTACCCGGGGGGAG